CAACTGAGGCAGCGGCCGCGACGCCAGCAGAGGCAGAAGCAGCAGCATCAATTTCCGCAACGCCAAACTGCTAAGCCAGATTTCTCGGTTTGGTTTTCAGTTTGGCTTGTTGCTCGCTCGCAGGCAATTGTTGCTATTACACACTATTGCCCATTGCCTGTGCCAGAGTGGTGTTGTTTTTGCCTGAGAATTCCAAGATTCCAAGTTGCTGTTGTCTCTCACTATTTAATTATATAGGAGAAAATGCAAAAGACTGAAGAAAATGCTTGAAGAAGGTGGAAAACTATGGTAAACTCTGGGGTGGGAGGTTAAATGGGTTTAAGGAAAAGATTAAAGTGTAATACCATTAACAGAAAAATCTTTTAAAAAATTTCTTTGTAATTGAAATGCTTTAGTTTATCGAAATACTGAACTATCGACCTCGACTTTTATCGATTATTCAAAATGTAAAGATCATTAAGTACAAATGGTCATCTTTAAGAACAGTTTAAATGTTCTGATAATAGAAAATCAAATTCAAGACTTTACAAAGCCCAAAAACAATTTCTAGAGATGGTAATCGATTAATTAATTGATTAATATCGATTTTATTAGCTCTAGAAATAAGCTATTATTATCGATTATGTATATACGAAAGGTTTGAAAACTTTCAATATTTAATCCAAAGACCAATTTAGCTTTGTTTTCATTGACTGAAGATTTCTTTTCACAATATCGTATCTTATCGATTAAAATCTATCAAACAAATGCCTATTTTGAGACCCCCAAAATCTTTAATGATAAATAATATTATTATCCTTATTATTAATTTTAATTAATTTTAAACTTCTTTAATGTGGCTTAACATCTATACTCTGCCATTATAAAATGCACAAAATAATACTCCAAATCGGGGCAAACAAACTAATTATCCAAATGCATCTATCCAACTCTGATTACCCCAAAAAAAATTAGCATAATTCAAAGCCGTTAATCGGCCCAATTGTTTCGCCATTGCGGCAATATGCACATCTGTGCTGTGGAAGTGGATGTGGCGCTGCGGCTATATAGCTATATAGCCACTGCCATGGATATGGATATGAGTGTTGAATATGAATATGTAAGTGCACAGATGCACAGTTCCAAACGCGTTCTACTTCATGGCACTGTGAGCATGCCCCACTTTTCGGTGAGGGCATAACAAACGACCAATGGCTCCTCCTTGCCGCCCCCTTTGGCCAGCTCACTTCTTGGCCACTTGTCTAAGCAAAATGCGTAACACACACAGGCACGAGGAGAAATCAAACAGAAAATCACTTTGGATTTGGCCAACAAAATAAATGTTCACTTTGATATTTTAGCTTAGAAGAAAATCATTAAAATCATAATTTATGCTGCACAAATTTATGAAAAACAAAAATTTGGCAGAGGAAAATTACTGCAATGTAATTAATGGTTTCAATTGAGCGAAAGAGTGGGAAAAACAGACACACACACACAGACATAGACACTATATTTTTTCCTTGCTGATTTTATTTAGCACTTTTGATTTATGATTTTTAATTTTTGGCCATTTTACGTCGTGAATCTTACCAAAAGTCTGCGCCGCACCTAATAAATCTGCATTTGCCATGCATAATTTCTCACCGAATAAAATGTCAAATAAATAAGCAAAAAAAAGGAAAATAAAGATGTGCTCGAAGGCACAGTATAAAAAAAAGATGGGAAATTTCTCAGACAAAATTCTTGAAAAAAAGTCACAGGAAAAAGCAAAAAGAAGTTGCTTAAAAATTCAGCACGGCTTGTGGGTTTTTATTTAACTTAATTATTCATTTTTAAGAATAAGAATTGCATTGATAAGAGTCTCATATATTTTGTTATTACATTTTTTTTATTTAGTTTTTATTTATTATCACGATCAATGATTAAATATTCATAGAAATGTTGTAACGATCTGTAATCACTGATAACTTTGAAGGTTTCCCTTTTTCTGTAATTTGTATTTGTTTTTCTCTTTACTTTTCACTCTTAAATTTTTCTTTATATTTATTTTCCTATTTTGTAATATATTTCTTAGCACTTTACTCGTTTTTTATTTCTTAATTAAGTTTAAGGGCCTTTTAAAATATTATTTTTGTTTATGACTGGGTTGCTAATGTCACTTAATGTTGATGCTGCTGCTGCTGTTGTTCGTTTTTGTTGCTGCTGCCATTGTTTTGATGTTGCTGTTGTGTTTTTTATCGCCGAACCGCATACGAAACGAAAATTAAAAAACACAAAAAAACCAACGCACAGCTTTTCTTTAGCTTGCTGCTGCCGTGCGGCAATTACTGCTGCTGTTGCTAGTGTGTGGCTGCTGCTAGTGGTGTTGCTGCTTTAGCTGCTGCTTCTGCTGCTGCTGCTGTTTTGGTCGTGCGCCGTTTGGCAGTCGGTTGAGTACTGGCACGAGCCGCTGTCAGCGAAACCAAACGAGCCGACTTCGACCGACGAGCGGCGTCAGCGGCGACGCCGGCAGCGAGAAAGTTTGCGTTTTGCATTGTTGCAGCGCTGCTGCTGCTGCTGCTGCGCTGGGCGGCGAGTGAGTGTATCTTGGGGGGGAAGGAGGGGTGGGGAGCATAGAGCGAGTACATGTTAATGCGGGGGTGCTCTTAACAGGGCCCTAGCAGCAATGTTGATAAGCCTGCTGCTGCTCGCTGTTAAGCATGTTGCATGTCAGTCTCTCACTCTCTCGCTCTTTCGTGCTGAAACCAATTCGTTTGTCATTTGTTTAATGACACAAATATTTGCACAAAGTGTTTGCATTTATGTATGCCGCGACAACCTGTCTTGCCCCACCACCAGCCCCCCTCGTTTTCAATTTCCATTTTTCGGCGGCGTCAGCAAAGTTTTCCCTCAATTTGTATATTTGTGCCATAAATTTTATTACCACTAATAGACTAATAATAATCCGGCTAATGATCGTCAACAGGCCATTGAAGTTTCTCCGTAAGCTTTCAGGGAAATTGAATTCGTTGCGAGCAGAATTTGATGGCTGTTAAATTGGGTTGAGCCTACAAGGACACTTGGGGCAAAGCTACCCCCGAAAACAGCAAATAACATGAAACAACTAAATAAGGAAGTGACAACCGGAAACCGAGGAGGCTAAGGAATTTTCGCTCAAACGGGGATCCCAGGAGTCACTCAAAAAGGTTTGAGTGAGAACCGCGCTCACTCTCTTTATCTCGCTGGTTATTTCTTTCTTTCTTTTTTTTTTTGCAGCGCTTTTTCGCTCGCTGTTATGTTACAAGGCAACGACACCGGCCGGCTGAAACTAGTTAAGGCCACACCAGCAGGCAGGCAAACAACCCTCTTTGCTGGCCACATCCACACAGCCTCCCCCTTGATGCGACCACCACCCCCGGCTCCTTCCCCTGACAGCTTAACCTATAAAAATTCCGCAACCACAACAACAGCAACATCAACACAAATGGGAACACACACACCACACTCCCGCCTCCACTCCACTCCGCTACGGGCACACAGCGAGAACTGTTCTCGGCACTCTCTCTCGCCGAAATCTGGGCGCCTGTTACACACGCAACGAAGTTGCCAACACAACCTCACACAGCCAGCAGCAAGCACACAACAACTCACGCACACTCGCAGCAGCGCGTGTTTCTGCTGCTGCGAAGCTGTTGCTGCGGTCATGTTGCTGCTGCTGCCACTGTTGCTCATGTTGCTGTTGCTGCTAATGGCAGTGCAGGCTCAAAAAGCGTAGCTAAAAATATCTAAGATAAAGATATTTTAAAATTTGGAAGGAACAAAATTAACTACAAAATTTTCTTAGTTTTTAAAGTTTTGCCTAATTTAGTATTGACTTTTTAGAATAAACATTAAGCAGAAAAATATGCATTTTAAAATAATTAAATATATAAACAAAATTGAATAGCATAAATCTCTGGCTAAAAAATATTTACTAAAGCATCTCTAATTGCTGCTGTGTCAGTGCCGTTCATTTGTTTGATTTTGTTGTGATTATGCGCAGTGCTTCGACACTGACTGAGCAGCCAACGGCGGCAGAGGTAGCAGAAGCAGAGGCGTCACTGTAGTCAGCGACCCATGGAGGGCATTTGGGAGCAGCAACAACAGCAATGCCACCAAATCGTCCGAAGTTGCGATACTCTTGGACAATTAAAAAAAAAATTGATAAGGAAATCATGTTAAAACCTCGATTTTGGTCAGAAAATTATTGCAAAATTTCATTAAATAATCGAAGAATTAAATAAGAGAGTATTACGAGAAATGGAAAATTTAAGAACTTGTTTTAAAAATCTTGAAAAATGATTAAATCTCAGCTCTGATCAGGCTACATTTTTCTATATATACATTATATAGATATACATATAGACTATATTCCGTATAGTCTGTTGCCTTCCCTCACGGCTGCCGGCTGTTGGCTCGTAAAAACTCATTGCCAGTTTGGGGCGTCGCTCAACTGGAAATGTGGCCAAGACGAGGCTGAAACTGTGAAACTGAAGCTATAGGAGCTACAGCTAAAGCCAAAGTCAAAGCTAGAGACAGAGAGCCAGAGCTGGGACTGCAGGTGTTTGTCTAACTGAGACATCTTTAGCATATAATACATTATATACCATAAAGTATATACTTTTATCTATATATAAGGCTATGTATTTAAGCCTAAATAAGCTTTCTTTTTTAGAAACGTAAGTAAAATATAAAACAATATAGTTAACTAAATTTTTTTCCAAGAATTTGAAATTGATTTTAGCACTAAATTCATTATTTTCAAAAAATTTTAAATGATATCTTTTTTTCATGAATTTTATATATTTTTCTATGGAAACCAAAGCTTTTTTTAGATTTCAAATGAATGCTGATCCAGCTTAATTAAGCAATTTATCAAAAATTTTATTACTAAAAGCTGATAAGTGAAATTTAAATTTTTTTAAATCTAGTATATATTCCCTTTCAAAGTTAAGATTGCAAAACAAAACAACAAAATGTAATAATAAGATTCATAAATATTTTTCAGGCTAGCTTTCTTTTATTTTCAGTGTATTTACACACATATGTGCCATGTAATTGCACTGAGTATTTCTTTGCGAAGCTTAATTAGTGGCTGCCAGCCTGTTTTTTCACTTTGTAGGCTTTTGTAAATGAACGTTCCGTGAAGCGACGGTTGTTAGAACAAAACACAGTTAGAATTTTGGTACTGGACAAAACACACACACACAGAGATTCCTCTTCCCGATGGATCTTAAGGAATTCTGCTAATCCACGTTCTTGTTGGCAGGAGTTGGGCGATAACGTATGGAGAAGCGCCTAAAGGTGTGGGAGTTGATCTCCCTGGTGGGCGTGAACTTGGCCCGCTCGATAACGGACCCGGGACTGCCAAAGTTGAGTAGCCAGAACTTGAGCTCGTTGACCTTGGACAGTGGGCCCTCCAGCTCCCCCTTGACCGTGCCCTCGTCGGTGTTCATCACCCAACCCCGCACCTGGCTGAGCGTGGCCAAGTCCTGGGTCTGTTTTCGCAACTTCACGCCCTGCACTCGCCCAAAGATCTCGAATCCGCAAAAGAAAATCGGGTCCACCGACTGCATCATCATATTTTGAGTCCGTGTATTCATTCAGTTTCTCTTTGAGCTGTGAGTTTTTGAGTGTGGATCGAAAGGGGAAGATATACTTGTATAAATTTTGTCAATTTTGGTTAAAGTTTGTCAAATGGTTTTATGGATATTTCTCTTTTTGTGGCAAGACAGTCAAGGTCTACTTTTTAAGTACAAACAGTAAAAGGAAGTAAATGAACTTCTTAAAGATTCATTAAAGAATCTATTTAAGAAAAATATATAAAATCCATATGCTCGAAATTCGGTTTGTAATTGAAAAAGAAAACACATGTTATTCTTAAATAAAATACCATTTCCCCCTTTAATTTATTGCCTATCGATTGCGTAAGAAGCAATTTCCTTGAAATAAGATACTCATACATTTCTAGCTACTTTTTAATCATGATTGAATTAAAATTGAGAAAGAAAAAAAGGAGAAACAAAAAAAATGCATTTTCATCTTCGCAACGAGCATTGTTGTATCGAGAAGGACGCTAATGACATTGTATCTATTGTATATCTATCGCATATCACATATCCCATATCAGCACGGGGGACTCATAAATCACTTGCCGCACTCGCACACAAGTTCATCTCATGGCAATCCAATCAACTGGCAATGCCACAAAAGTTTGCAACCACCAAACAGAGGCGCAAAAACCCGCCCCCTTCATCACTGTTCTCCTCCTCATCCTCTTCCTCCATCCCTCGTAAGCAGCCGTCGCAGCACACAACACCACCAACGCACCACCTATGGGCAGCGAACAATAACTAGCGGAGATAAACAGACAACATTTGGCGTTAATGCAAACGCGAAACACCAACATCGTTGGCGATTCTATGGCAAATATTTAATACGATATTTATGGGATATATAAGAGGGTATATAGGGAGAGAGATTTCAGCGAGGAATGGTATGTATTTGCTTAAGAAGCCAGTGATAAATGACTGAACAGGTAACAAGTATACGCCCCACGGCACCTTACAAGATGAGGGAAATATCAACAAAATGTGCAACTCATTTTCCAAAGTATGAAGAATATTATACAACGTTTTTTAGATAGTTAAGTATTCAGTCTTTAAGGACATTTAAAACAATCCATATCGAATTATTTGAAAAGTAAATATAAGGCCTAATCCTAGCATTACATTGGTCAAAACTAAAAATGTAACTTCTTTTGCGAAATACCCATGGTACTAGCTACATTTTAAGCGAACAGAAAGATGTGGAAATGGCCCTAAAGCTGCCAATTTTGTTTAACGAATTTTCAAGTTTTCACAAACTGGAACCAAAGGTTTCTAATTTGCCAGCAAAGCCACAGTAATATCTTTGTAACTGTGACGAAAAACAAAATTAAGTAAGTTGCAGTAGCTCTGCAAGCTAAGAAAAGGGTTTCTTTTATGCTTCCCTGGGCTATAGCTAAGATTATGCAAATTTAATAGGTTTCGTTGGTTAGGTTTTACCAATACACCAATTTCAACATTTCAAAAATAACAATAATAAACACATTTTCGTACTAAAAATGAGGAAAAACTCTTTAACTTATTTCAAAATAACTTAGAGAATACCAGCGTATACTTCACCAATACACCCATTTCAACAAATCCAATACACCAATAGAATCAAAATAATATAATAGTTAACAAATTAGGAATAACTCTTAAAGTTATAGAAAAGCTATAAGAAGCTTTAACTTATCCCTAGAAAGTACTGCATGCTTCGTTATTTCACCAATACACCAACAAAAGCCAAATATAACAATAGTAAACAGGTTTGTTTGGGAAAAAAATGAGGAAACACTCCTTAAGCTGTAGGAAATTGTTGAAAAGGCTTCACTGTGTCTTCAAAGTGCCTCAAACTCCGTCGTGTGCTCATTCAAATGAAACAGCACGAGCCTCGGATTCGGATTCGGATTCGTTTTGAGTTTCAGTTTGAGTCCCCAGCCTCTGTCGCTGCCTCAGTCGGCGTCTCAGTCGACGTCTCTCAGTGAATTCGATATTGTTGTTGCTGGCTCGCTGGCTGGCTGGCTGTTGAGCCGAAGGTGAGCAAGCCAAATCAAACAAACCGAAGCGCAGCAAAACAACAATAACAACAAAAAGTAATACGTTGAAACGCTTCAAGGGATTTCGCATAACTCAGTATTGTGGCTATATAGCTATGGGTACAGGTATAGATATAGGAATATGGGTAGGAGTACGAGTACAGCTGCAGTTGCGGACACAATAATAGTTCCCCAAGATAAATGCAGATGAAGATTTTAGGATCTTGAAGGCCATATATTTCTTATGATGTTAATATTTAAATTTTTTGCGATAGTTCTTAGTAAATTTATTTATTTTTTAAATATATTTTGAATAATCAGAATATTGTTATTTGAATTAATTAAACTAATTAAATATTAATATTTAAAAAATACCTTAACATTTTTTGTTTAATTTATTTATAATTTTTACCGCAACTGTATATTGTACAGCTGAAACTGCGCTTCAATTGCGACAGCTAAAATAACAACAACAATAAGGTAACACAAGTAAACAAAACTCGGCTTCTCTGAAGGCAAACTGCGTGAACTGAGGGAGAAGGAGAGACATTCGAAGAAAAAGATAGAGTAAAAGAGAGGATCTTTCTGACAACAGAGAAAAACGGGGAATCCTGATAAATCAAAATCCTCAATCAGAAGTTAAGCGTTAAAAAAAAACTACATTTTAAAAAATATAAAAATTTATAGGTAGATTTCTGAAAAGCCTTAAAAATTATATCAAAAAGACATGCCCATATTGATACTCTTATTTAGATTTTCCCAAATTCCCCGCTCATGTTGCCATTATAATTTCCATGCTTCTCGAAAATTATATCTCTGAAAACAATCTTTTTTTTACAGGCCTGACGGCGCCAAGCCAAATACACAAATCAAATCAGAAAGCGAAACAAAAATAACAACAGAGGGAGGAGAAACAGAAAAAGAACAACAATTAAATCGAATTGGAAATTAAAAATAAAAAGTACAGTCCAGCAAGACAGCATTTTCCCGCAGCATTTTCCTTCATTTTCCAAATTGAATTGAAATGCAAACGAAAGCTAAATACTAAAATTAGCTTAAAATAAGTAAAGCAGACGCTGGCCGAGGAGCAATAATAACAACAAGTGAATAGAAAATCAAAGCGAAGCATATAAAGCAGCGATAATTCAAACGCAAAATGTAAACACTTCAAAGCCAGGCGACGCGGCGCGTCGGAAAAGCGTTGGAAAAGCTGAGAAAAATACCGAACCACAGTTGCATGGCAAAATGGAAGGGAATAATGAGAGAGGCCAGAGAAGTGGGGAAATTTTATAGAGTTTTCAAAGGGGAGAAAAATGGAATGGAAAATGGATGTTCACTTTAAATATCTTCTTTAGCCACACGCCATCACCACCACACACATTGATTTGTTGTTTACGCCAAATGACACAATTATTATAAATCTAGGCACTGGGAAAAATATTGGATCATAGGTAAAATAAAAATAAAATATATTATCAACTGTTATACACACATTTACACTCACAAAACGACGCTCTGAGCGAAGCTTGTCCTACGCTGCGTATACGTAACCCGTGATCTTGACTTCAGCATCGGCATTCGTTTCTCTTATCAGAAATAACTCAACGTTGATGTTGCACACAGCAAACATTCCATAATTGTTCAGATATTCCCTGGGTGCTTAAATTAACCTTAGCTTAGCTTAACTTACGGTTTTATCTGCACTTTTTGTGTGCATATTTTCGCAAAAGGAAGAAAATACTGGGACGACACTCACCTGCAAAGAGAGAAAAAGAGAGAGAGATATAATACTGATTAGCCACAAATGCAGCGTAAACGCATTGAGAATGATAAATCAACTGGCTAAAAATACAGCGACAACAGCAACAAACAACAACAAAATCACGTCAGCGGCCAAATAAGGCAAACAATTGCAAAAATCTGCATGTGGCTAGCTCCGTCGCGTCGCTGTCGGCATAACAGTCAGCTTAGCAGCTAGCGTCGCAGTCTCAATCGAAAAGCTAAAAATATTTCACTCCGCTCGCTTAGAAAATCCAAAATTAGCTGGCATGGCGTGCGCACAGAAATCCAAAATGAGGGACAGAGTTTAGAGGCACAGTGGGGCCGACAAAAACCATTTTTAAAATTCATAATAAACAACAAATTATAGGGAATTCTAAAAGTTTAGCTTAGTTAAACAACTATAAATAGAACTTAAAATATATTAAAAATTATAATCAAATCTTATACCAAAATCTACCCCTCACATCCACTGTGCTTTAGGCTTTCGTGGCGTCACCGTTGAGCGGCGGCAGAGACAGCGACGTCGACGTCGACAGCGTGCGACAGCAGGTTGGCAGAAAGTCTGCCACTGATAACGGGAAATGGCATGCCAACAACAGCAATAGCAACAGCAACAGCGGCGGCGGCAAAAGCAGCAACAATATGCAGAGAGTCGAGCCATCGACATTCTCTCACATCACTCTCTCTCTCCTTCTCTTGCCGGCTCCAAAATGGGGTTCGGGCTCCCCACTCACACTAGTCTCCGTAAGCAGACATAGCAGCACTCGCTCTCACTCTCGTGCCGCGCGATGGCCATGTCTTCCAATGTTCTCTCTCTCACGCTGGCAACGCTCACGCCAAAATAAACAAAACAAATGTAAAGTGCGCCCCTTTAGCAATGTTGTAAACACTGTAAAAAGTTGAGACCCTAGTTGGAAATTAAAAAACAAAAACTTTAAATATACCTTATTAGTTTGCAAAAAGTATTGCCTACTTTTGAGAGGTTTTTCTGTCACCATTTAATAAATGCTAAGATTACATATGATATTTCTCTCAGTGTCCAAGAAAAGCGTGTACAGGCCTATGCCCGTCACCGCGCCACCCCTCGCACAGCACCGCCCAACCACCTAGGGCAAGCCATGAAAATAAATATGTGGGCATAACAAAAATGAAAATTGTACGCGAAATGTGCCGCAAATGGCAGCAGATTTGCCATTAAAATTTACAAAGGGTCTTTTCTCCATGTTTCGGGAACTGAGAGGAGAAACTAAGCAGCAGGAGGAGGAGGAGGCAACCAAACGGGAATGGAGATAGAGAAAGAGAGCGAAAAGAAAACATAGGCAAACACACAGACGCTGGGCTGACGGACCGAATCAAAACAAAACA